CTTGTTGCTATTTGTAGATTTAATGAAGAATCAAATTGGTGGGCTTCAGATCATGTTAAAAAATTCAAGTCAACTGTTACTAAAGTAGCATGGTCTCCAGATTCACTTACTGTAGCAGCTGCATCAACTGATTTTAAGGCAAGAATTTTTAATGCTTTTAATAAAACAATAGATCCAAAAGGTTCATACTCTCCATTTTCAGAACAAGAACTTTCATCTCCAAAATGCAAATTAGGTACTTTCTTATTTGAAACTGAAGTTAGTGGATGGGTTCATTCTATTGCTTATACACCATCTGGAACAACTGTTGTTTTTGTTTCTCATGATTCTTCTATTTCATTCATTGAAGCTAATGATGGAAAACCAACTGTTCAAACTATCAAATGTAAAACATTACCATTCTTAGATGTTCTTTGCATTACTGACAATAAAGTTGTTGCTGTTGGACATCATTTCAATCCATGTTTATTTGAACGTGGTGCTGATGGATGGAAGTTTGTAAAAGAACTTGATCAGAAACAAGCACCTAAATCTACTGGAACTATGTCTGCTATGGACCATTTCAAATCTCTTTCATCTAGAGGAACTGCTACAGTTAAGAGTGCTGTAGAAGAAATTACTACTACTCATAAGAACACTGTTACCTGTATTAGACCAATGAAATATGATGATTCATGGAATGTTCTTGAATTTTCAACTTCAGGTATGGATGGTAATATTGCCATTTGGAAAGCTTAATAATTATCGATAAAAATCCATTCATTTTTTTTCTTTTTTTATGGTTAAAACAAGTTGTAGAGTAAAGTACTTGAAATCAATGCAAAGTTCCATACCTTTTATTGGAAGAAAAAACTAGTTAAAATAATTGTTATTGGAAAAACAGTAATTATTTCTAAATTTATATAAAGATGTTAATAAGAATAAAAGTACAATAATGAGTAGTTTACATAGAAACAGTTCTTGAAAATGGAAATAGTAAACTTGACATCAGTATTTGGGACACTGCTGGACAAGAAAAATAACTCTTTGGTTGGTATATTTTTTAAAGCTACAAAGTGATGTCTTATTATTTATGGTATTAATTCTTTTTAATCTTTTGTTGATACAACCTCATAGTATACACGCATGTTTAGCATAATACACACACCAATTTATTGTATTAGTTATAAACAAAAAGGGATTTGTCGCCTTAACTTAAGGTAGTTATGAAAGTGAAGAAAATTTAGTAGGAAATGGGAGCATTGTATTTAACAGTACCAGCAATCGAATGTACAAACATAGACACTCTCACTATATTTAAAAGCTTTAAGACAAAATTAAACCTGAACAGGATCAGAAAATCTTTCCAAATCAAAACACAAAACCAAGGAAATTTTGTTAATAATAAACTAACGAAAACTAGATGTGAAAAAGGAATTGAATTAATTTCTTCTTTTTAGTTGTTTTTAACTAATAAATTAAAAAATCAAATGAGCCCCATCTTCTGGTTGGTTAAGAATGAAACAAAATGGATGAAGATTAAACTTTTCTTTATATGCTTCTAACATCTTTTTATACTCACCGATAGCAGATGGTTTTAGTAATGTAACAGTACATCCACCAAACCCAGCTCCAGTTAATCTAGAACCAAATACCCCATTAATTTTTAAGGCATTGTCAACCAAATAATCTAGTTCCTCACTAGAAACTTCGAATAGATCTCGTAATGACATATGACTTTCTGTCATTAGTTTACCTAATTCTTCAACATTACCAACTTTCATAGCAGCTATGGCTTTCATAACTCTATCATTTTCATTAATAACATGTTTAGCTCTATTACCAACGATTCCAGTAAGAATCTGAACTTCATCAACAGTAAATCCTCTTAAAAATTTTTCATTCTTATGGTAATGTTCATTTAATTGACGTACAGCTTCTTGACATTGTTTGACTCGTTCGTTGTATTGAGATGATTCTAATTTATGAGGAGCATTAGAGTTAGTAATCATAATGAGACAATCTCCAAGAACTACAGGTTCATTAACTGTTTGATGAGTCTTACAATCTAATAACAAAGCAGTATTTTTTTTACATAACCGAGATGCAAATTGGTCCATAATACCACACATAACACCCGTATATTCATGCTCAACATCAACAGCTAATAATCCAAGTTCAACACCAGTCATTTCAATATTCAAAACCTTTAAGAAAGTAATTCCAGTGGCTACTTCAATAGATGCAGAACTACTTAGTCCTGATCCTAAAGGAACATCTCCCATAACACAAACAGAATATTCTTTTGGTTCAGATTGAACTTTGGTAAGTAATTTATCAACAACACCGTAGACATACATAAACCATTTTCCTTTATATTTTTCTAATACCTTCTCTTTACTTTCTCTTTCAACAGATACAAGTTTATTATCTATGGAACTAATAAAATTCATTTTAATAGTGGTTGATGGTTTAGTTGAAACACTGACATAAGTGCCTTGTTTTATAGCAACAGGAAGAACATATCCATCATTATAATCAGTGTGCTCTCCAATAATATTCACTCTTCCAGGTGCAAATCCAACATGCTCAGGTTCAGTACCATAAGTTTTTACATGAAACAATTTAATATCTTCCAATGAAGCCATTAATGTAATTATTCTGTAATTCTATTTTTTTAGTTTTTAAGTTTATATACCCTCTGAAGAGAATAGAAGTTTTCAAGATGAAAAGTCAATGAATAATTAAGAAAAATTATCAGAAACAGTCTTAAAGTATTTATATCTTCAGACAATATTTTAATTTTGCTATGACTATTGAAAAGATATAACTTATTTAAAATCATGAAGAACAATTATATTCTATCTTATTTTTTGATTAATGAAAAATCATAGATTGATATTATTTTAGTTTTGACAAATCTAATGAAGAATTATAAGAACTATTTAAATCTTAGAAATAAAAACAGAAGTATCACTTAAAAAATGACAATTGTTGCTCAAAGAGAAGATTTTTGTAGTACTATTAAAGGAAAAGAAGTAGATTTATATACTTTAACAAATGAATTTTTAACAATTAACCTTACTAATTATGGTTGTCGTCTTATTGATATTATTACTCAAGGAAAGAATGGCCCTGTTAATGTTTTAATAGGTTTTCGTAGTTTAAAAGGAATTATGCAATGTGATAATTGTATGGGAGCTATCATTGGTAGATATGCTAATAGAATTTATAAAGGAGATCTTGTTATTGATGGTCATAAATATCAATTACCAATTAATAACGGAATTAACTGTCTCCATGGAGGAGATGGATTTGACAAAAAAGTATTTACAGTAACAAAAATTACTAAAACAGAAGTAGTATTAGAATTAGATGATAAAGATGGATCTAATAATTTCCCAGGAAATGTTCATGTTGTTATAACCTATGAATTACATGAAAATAATTTAGTTATGACATTTGAAGCAACAACTGATCAAACTACTGTTGTTAATATCACTAACCATTCTTATTTAAATTTAAATGGAGATGGATCTATTGTTCATCATCAACTTCAAATATATAGTGACCAATTCCTTCCTATAACAAATGAAATTGTACCTACTGGAGAAATACGAAAAGTTGAGAATACACCTTTTGATTTTAGAGAGTTTAAAGAAATTGGTAAAGAAATAAATGATGAATATGAACAATTAAAATTAGGAACTGGATATGACCACTCATTTATCATAAATGAAAATGCTCCACATTGTTCATGGGATAAAAACCTTAAACAAATAGCATGTGTTAAGGGAGATCTAAGTGAAATCCAAATGTCAATTTATTCGTCTCAACCTGGTGTTCAATTTTATACATCTAATTTTATGCCTGAAGGATTTAAAACAAGAACAGCTTTTTGTTTAGAAACTCAACACTTTCCTGATTCACCTCATCATCCAGAATTTCCTTCAACCTATTTAAAAAAAGGAGAGCTTTACCATCACGTTTGTGTTTATCAATTCCAGTAAACAATCAATAAAAATGGTTTAAATTACTAATTTATTGCTTTAATATTTCAAGTTCATGTTCAAGTTCTTTTATTTCTGTAGTTTTTTGATTTATTTCTTCTTCTTTAGATTTTAATTTTTCCCGAAGTTCTTTATTTTCAGTATTTAGTTTTTGTTTGTATTGATTAATCACATTAATAACAGATTCAATCTCATCAATTTTATTCTCTAATTTTTCTACAAATGCAAATACCTCATCTTGGTACTGAAGTGGTGTGATTGGTCCTAAGGACATTTTAAAGAATTAAAAGTTTTTAAAATGATGTTTAATTTTACTCTTTTTTTTGTTATTTTAAAAATAACGTACTGAACAAATGATTAAGAGAAAGGTATTAAAGGATTATTTAAATGATACTTGATATAAAGTTATCTACAAAAACTAATAATAAAAGAATTTATTTTTTATAATGAATAGAACAAAAAAAATAAAATAGTAAAAATTAATATATTTTAAAACTATTTAAATACAATTAAAACATCTTTAAAGAAGAAAAAGTATTTCATGAACATTCTAATTCTTTTATTCATTTATAATGTTTTAAGTTCCTGTGAACTAAAATATAAGTTAATTGATAAGCTTGATGCCTATGAAGTGTTCTGTCCATTTCCACAGTTTTGCCAAGGAAATATAACAATTCCATCGGAACATCCAGAAAATCATAAACCAATAATAAGAATTGGTTCAAATGCTTTTAAAAATTCGTTAATAACAAAAATAGAAATTCCTAATTCTATAATAGAAATAGGCAATTATTCTTTTTACGAGTGTAAAGAATTAACAGAATTAAGTCTTCCAAATTCAGTTCAAATAATTGGTGATCAAGCTTTTTATTCATGTAAAAACATAGCCCAAATTATTCTTCCAAATTCAGTTGTTTCAATTGGAAGTTTTGTTTTTGGGTCATGTAGTGGATTAAATACAGTTCAATTATCAGAGTCATTAACTTCTTTATCAGGCCATTGTTTTGCTGATACACATCTTATTTCAATTAATCTTCCTCCAAAGATTAATACAATTAATGAATATGCATTTTCTGGATGTACTAATTTGAAAAATATAACATTTAATTCATCTCCAATTATTAAGAAATATGCACTACATACATATTCTTCAACGACAATAATTAATATGTTTGGATTATATGATTTTGATGAAACATCATGTTCAAATATTAGTTTTGATAATTTAAAAAATGAAACAATTTATGTTACTCCAAGTTATCAAAATAATACTTTTTGTGGAAAAAATATTAGTATTATTAATGAACAAGTAGAATATCTTTGTAAAGAAGAAGAACAAAATAAATGTAAAGAGTATTATTTAATGATAACTTCACAAGACTTTTATAGAAATAATATAAATATTTGTTTTTTAATAAATAACAAACAAATGAAATTCATTTATGAAGATTCACAATATTATTTTGTTGATTGTTTTAATTTAAATAATAAAACTATATATTATTCTTATTCTATTGTAACTGACATTGCTTTTAAAGTTCGTTATTCGTCTTCTTTAAATAGTATAGTTGAATTAATTAAAATTATTCCATCATATTGTTCATCATCAAATACACAATACATATTAAATCAATTTGGAATTTCAAAACATCAATACTCAGATAATTTATGTTCTTCTGGAGACAGTATTATTGAAGTATATTCAAATGGTGATATAATTGATAATGAAATAGCTATTATTACACCATTAAATTTAAAATCTCATTACATTGGGACAAGTTCAATGTATCATTCTTTACCAATAACAAAACCAATATTATCTTCTTCAAATAAATATATTTTTGAATTAATTTCTGATTCGAATGCAAGACAATATGAATATAAAAATGATCATTTATACACTTTTAAATCTAAAATTTCAACTTTCTCTCCATCAAATTCATTAATAACTATTGCTTACGGAAATGAATGCATTTCTCAATTTAATTGTACTAAAGATACTACTAAAAACCAATTTATTTTTACAACTTCTTGTGTTGATTATAATGCTTTTAGAACAATTGGTGATCAAATTCAATTAGTTAAATATTCGAATAAAAACTGTTTTAAAGATGCATTTGAAATAGAATACTTACCTTCAATTAATGGTATTATTTTAATTGATAATCAATATTATTTTATTGAAGTCATAAAGAAAGATAGTTCTGCAGAAATAGTATATGGAGTATATTCAAATTCTTATATTAGAACATTATCTAATATTTGTATCCAAATAGGTGAAGCTTCTTCTTTTAAATATGTTTATGGCTTTTTTGATATCACAGAATCAAAACTTTATTATAAAACTTTATATTCTAATTCAACTCAATGTAATGGTTCTTTTACTTATCAAATTATTGATAATTTCCAATTATATGTTCCTCAAATTATAACAAAAGGTAAGATTGGTTATTCTTTAAGTTCTGATTTAAAATGTACATTAGAAGGAATTGAAAAAGGATATCTTACTAAATATTTCAATATTGAGCAATGTGTTTTTAATAATATTAAGTATCTTATTATAAAAGATCAATTAGTTGAATATCATTATTCAAATTGTTATAAAGATGAAGGTAAAAAATTAGTACAAACATATTCACTTAATAAATGTAATGAAGTCAATGAATATATCCAAGAATATGTAGGGTTCATTATTACTTTTAATTGTTCTTCTAAATTTACAACTGGTTGTTTAACTTGTGACTCAATAGAATGTTTGTCTTGTTCAAATGATTTATTCTTAAAAGATAACAAATGTCAAAATTGTTCAGATATGTATGGATTAGATTGTGTCTCATGTAACATTAATACATGTCTTAAATGTAAAACAAGTAAACTTATTAATGGTAAATGTGTCATTGATAATTCAAGTATTTCTCCTGATACTACAAATGATAGTAATAATATTACTAAAATTATTTGCATTTCTCTTGGTGTTATTGGTTCTTTCATTTTAATTACTTGTACCATTTTACTTATTATTAAAATTAGAAATAAAAAGAAAAATACTTTTACTTCCTTTAATAAATTAAAATAAATCTTTTCTGAATAATTTATTATTTTAACATTATTCTTTCATTTGATTTTTCATATATATAAACAAAAAATTAAATTGTATAAACTAACATCTCTTTGAATGGTTTTGAATTGAACAGAAGTTTTTTTCTTGATATGTCTAAATTTTATTGAAGACTTGCTATTTAATTTTTTCTATTAAAAAGTTATTTTTAAAATAAGTGAATCACAAAAAAAGAGAGGTGTTATAAAAAAAAAAAAGAAATAAACTTAGTAAAATTTAGTTGAGATTGAATCAAACACAATACCAAAATGAGTAGAGACACAATAAACATCTTTTTTTAAGGAGGAAGGTATTTCACAATTTTCAAATTTTAAATTTTCAGGCATTTCAATTGGATCAGTGATTGTTCCTTTTATAAATTCTAAGAATGAACTCAAACAATCTTCAGTTATTCTTAAACTAGAAATCTATGAAATAAATTATTTTCATATTCCTAATTACATGATTATAAAAGAAACAAAACACAATTAACAAACTATTACATTTCTTCCTTTGCATGAATTTAATGCTTCTGTCCAATCATCATCAAATATCTCATCTTTAGACTTAAAACATTGTATAATCTTATCAAAATCGTCATTATCATCATCTTCTTCCATATCAAATTCATTTCGTTGATGTCGAACTCTTGGTGTACTAGCTTTTATTTTTTGAGCATTAATAAGTACTTGAGGTGGTGGTAATAAAGACTTAACGAAAAACTGATTTATATGAACAAAAACACATTGAAGCTTTTGTGTGATAAATGGATGAACAAATAACTCATCCCATGAAATTCTTTTTTTAACATCAATTTCAAGCATTCGTTGTATGATATTAATAAATTCTTTATTAAATCCATCAGGAAATATTAAATCATTACTAATATTTGAATCAATACAAATCCATAATGAATCTTTATTTTGTATTGGAGGCCATCTTTGACTAACAAGATAATAAAGACATACTCCAAGTGAATACATATCTGCATTAATTGTATAATTTCCTTTTAAATTAACAAAAGATACTTCTGGTGCCATATATTGTGGAGTACCAACACATGATTCAAACAATGATTGTTCAACAACAATTTTACTTAATCCATAATCTGATATTTTAACTACTACATTCCCATTTATTTCTCTCTTTAATAAAAAATTTTCTAATTTTAAATCTCGATGAAATATTTTTTCTCCACGTAATAAATAATGAAGACCTTGTACTAATTGTTTAAATATTTCTAATATTTGATTTTCACTCAATGAATGTTCTTTGCAATATGTTAATAAATCACAATCACATTTTTCCATTACAATGTAATGATAATTTCCTCCATTTAATTCTTCTTCTTCTTCATTTTCTGTTAAAAAGATTGGATATGGAGAAGTAAAATAATCATAAATCTTAACTAAATTAGGATGATTACAAATTCTCATTATTCTACTTTCTCTTAATACATGATTATCATTGGTACTTTTAATTTCTTTTAATGCAACAATCCTTTTTTCTCCAAATAATTCTTGTGCTTCATATACTTTACCAAAATGTCCTTCTCCAATAACTCGAATAAATTTATATTCATGACTTCCTTCATTAGAATAAATCAATAATTTTGATGCTCTAATAAAATTATGATTAATTAATTCTTGGAATGTTATCCTTCTATTTTCATCATAAACTAACATTCTTGATATTAATCCTCTTAGTTCATTATTACTAATATTTGAAAATGTTATTTCTTTGTGTTCCATTAATTCTTTAATAATATCCCCTTTTCTAAATACATGGTCTCCAGTAATTATGAAATATAATATCATTCCTAAACTCCAAATATCTTGTTTCTCATGTCTATTTACTGTTCCCCATTGTAGATCCCATAAAAGTTCTGGTGCTGCAAATGCTAATTTATAATATGGTTGAAATGGTGATATTGAATGAACAAAATTAGATATTTTAATTCTTGGAAGTGGCATACTATCATCATTAGAAAGAAGAATTGTATAAGGAGTTAATGATGATAATATAATTTTACAAGTTGTTCTAATATATTCCAATCCATTTAATAATTGAATTAATGTATATCGTATGAATGAGATAGGGGGTGGTGTAGATAATCCATGAATAAAAGTATACAAATCAAGAAGATCCATATATTCAATATGTGAAGTAACTTGTAACCCATCAATACGTGGTAAATGAACAATAGAATAATATGTAAGTAAATTAGGATGGGAAATTGTAAGTAATAATTTTCTTTCTAATTGAATTCGTTTACATTCTTCTGGATTTTTAATCATATCATCTTTAATTACCACTGGTGTAGGAAAAGATGATGATTGAATATATGTAAGTGTTTGATTTGGGAATACATTACTAAAGGCATTTATCATATATTACCCACTACTAGTTCCAATTTTCGAGATTACTTATCAAAAACAAATCTAAAACCAAAAACTTAGTAAAAAAGATTTCAAAAATTCAATAAACAAAAACGATTGTTTATTTAAAACAAAATTTTTTATTCTTTTTCTTTAAATATTATTTTTTTATTTTCTTTATTTTATTAAACAAACCAAAAATCCTTTTTTCTTATTTTATTAAATGAAAGAAACTCAATTTGCACTTGTTTAATTGACCGTTTGTTTAAATGGTGATCCAGCAATATGTCTTCTGTTCAACTTACAATTAATATGATATTCTCCTTTTTCTGCTGGAAGAGAATATCTAATGAAATATTTTCCTTCTCCAAGATGTTTAACTTTAACTTTTTGTTCTTCAAGCTTACCATTTGGTCCATCAAGTTCAACTGTGAATTTAGCTTTTCCATCAGCTTGGACTTGTCCTCTTCTATTCTTAGCTTGGACAACAAAACAGAAGTTTTCAACTCCTGATTCATCTGCATCAGCGTCTTCTTCAACTTCAAGATGATATGGTGATTTACCTACTTTTTGTTTATTTAATTCTATCTTAACTCTAATCTTACCTGCAGCAGCTCTATAATGAACATCATACGTACCATTTTCATTATCAATAACAGTACATGGAATACTTCCTTGTTGTTTTTGTGCTACCTTCTTTCCTTCAATTTCTTCTTTTGGTTCTTCAACTCCTTCTTCTTTTTCCTTTTCTTCTTCTTTCTTTGGTTCTTCTTCCTCCTTCTTTTCTTCTTTTTCCTTTTCTTCCTCATTTACTTTTTCTTCTTCGTTGTCTCCAGATTCTCCATCATTCAAGAATGCAAACAATTCTTCATCTTCTGCATCGTCATCTTCTTCTTCTGAAGAGGAAGAACTACTTGATTTTTCTCCTTCTTTTTTCTTCTTCTTTTCACTTTCTGTGACTTGATCAATGATAACTTGGAATGGATGTCCTCCAACTAAAACATCTTCTCCTTTAAAGTTCTTAGCATGAATAGTAAAGACATTATCTTCTTGATCATTTGGTCGTTCAATACCTTCTCCATCAACAATACATTTTTTAGCATCAACTCCATCTTTAATTTCTGGATGATAAACTGATCCTTTAATGTCTTTAAATTCTTCTGGATTCTCTGGGTTTTTCAAAAGAACTTGAACATCATAAATACCTGGAACTTTAGCTTTATATTTAACATCATATTTACCATTATGTCTATCAACAACCTTTGCTGTTTGTTTCTTTCCTTCTGGATCTGTAACTTCAACTTTAAATTCATCTCCTCCTTTAGTACATTTCTTTCCTTCTGGTGTGACTCCTTGAATTCTGAAAACTGGTGTTTTATCAATAGTAACTCCTCCTTCAACTCCTGGTCCAAATGCATATGATTCTCCAATACATGCAGTAGATGGATCTTGGAAGACTTTACATTGATATGGATTTCCTTTAATACCTTGATTCAATAATGTAATGAAAACAGTATCAATTCCTGGAACTGGAACATAACTTCCTGTATAAGTACCATCATTATTATCAACAAGTTCATGTGGAATTTCATTACCATCATTAGATCTAATGATGACTTTAAATTTAGCTCCAGTAACTGGCACAGCTGTTCCAACTTTATTTACACAATGAATAGTAAAGTTAACTGGTCCTTTTCCTGCATCACATTTCTCTACACCTTCTCCATCTGCATATGTATTTTCTGGATCTGCTTTAGCTGGTTCAATCATAACAATAGCTGGTGATTGTTTTAATTGTTTATCTTCATATGCAACTTCAACTTTATGTTTTCCTGGTACTTGTGGAACATATGTCATATCATATGTTCCATCCCCATTATCTTTTTGTTCAATTGGAATTTCATTTCCTTCAGGATCAAAAACATGTGCATTCCAAGTAACTCCTCCTTGTGTAATTTGATCTCCTTTACAATTCTTAGCTGTAACAGTAAATTCTTGTGGTACAAGAACTTCTCCTGTTTTAAGTCCAGGTCCTGACATAACACATTTTGATGGATCTGGTGTTCTCATTAATTCTGCTTCACGTGCAAGTCTTTCAGCTTCTCCTAATCTCTTTTCTTTTTCAGCTTCATAATGTCTGAAATAAGAAACATATGCCATAACAGATAATTCATCAGGTTCTGGAAGTGCCATATCTTCTGCTGCAATAATAGCTGGAATTTCCATTTTATCTTCTGCAATACTTAATCCGTATTGAATTCTTTCTTCTCCTTCTCCTTTTGAAGCTGAATCAGCCAAATCAATAAAATCTGGTTCAAGAGCATGAATTAATTCATTTAATACATCCCCTGTATTCCAATCATTTGAAAAGTTTTTAATTTTTCTTGATGTTAATTTAGAGTTAACCCATTCAAGTAATGCATTCTTTGATGCATCCATTTTATTTTGAGCAATTTGGTATTTAAGAATAAGTGTCCAAAGAAGTCCAAGAATAAGTGTCAAATTTCCATCAACAATATTTTGAGCATCAATATTAACTAATTTAACTCCGTCAGCTTTAATGAAATTTAATGCTTGTTCTGTATTTTCTAATTTAGCTACTCTCATCTTTGGTTTCTTGTTATATCTGAATTGTACTTTTTGTTTTCTTAAAGCTTCAAATAATGATATTAAGATTAATCCATCATTTAAATCTGTCTCAACATCATTTATAACATATGCTCCACTTAATTGGACATTTGCCCATTTAGTAAATGTTTTCTTTTGGGTAAGAACCCATTGTGGTTGGGACATTATTTTTTGTTTGACCAACTTTTAAGATTCAGATATTATATAGTTCTCTCACCTTTTCTTTTCCTTTTTTAGCTTTTTTATTTCCTTCAACTCATTTTAGTTTTTGTTTTCATTTTATTTTGGTTTTTGTATCTCATTATTCTTTCTTTAACTCTTTATTTTATAAGTTCTTTAGCGTTGAGAAATCATTTAGAGTTTTCAATCCAACTTTAGTTTTTATGATCGAAGGAAAATGATTTTAAAGTTCTTCGTTTTGATTTTAGTTCTAATAAAAAAACAAATAAATTTTTCCTGTTATAAATACAAACAAATTAAAAAATATATATATTTACGTTATATAAAACAAAAATAAAAAAGAAATGAATTAAATTATTCGAATACAATTATATCTTTAAGCATAGCTTCTGAAGTACCCATGAATAACATTTCATTTAATTGTGTTGGTTCATTAAAACAAGAGTCTATATTTCCAATAGAAACACAAAAAGGAGAAAGAAGCCTAAAATAGAAAACAGAATTAATAGCAAATGACCATAAAGCACCATCAGGTATTAAAGTAAGATGGACTTGTTGTTTTGGACGAATAAAAGTATATGGAACATTATTATTGTTTCTTAAGGTAAATAAACAAATTGATTGGTTAGATTCAACTAAACCATTAGGTAAATAAATTCCGAAGACATTATGATAATAATCTAAAAATATGAATATTTTTTCATCACTTGACTTTAATGAATCAATACTTTCATCTGTACTTCTTATTTTTGTAATTTTCCATTCTGCTCTTCCAATATCATTAAATAACTTTGTGATAATTTCTGCTGGTATTTCAAAATTAAAGAAAAAAGTTATTGCTTTTGATTTTGCTTCATTCACATTAATATTATAATATTCAATTAATTTGACCATATTTTTTGATGATGGACCTTTTTCTTGAAGATATTTACCAATTCCAATTTCTACTTCATTTTTATATTCTTTTGTTTTATCTAATGTTATCATAGTTTCACACATAAAATCATTTAATTCTCCTAATTTCATTTGTGTTATATAATACATTTTTAATCGTTGTAATGAATCATTTAATGACATTCCACAATAATGTTCTGTAAATAGTTCTGCTGTTTGTCTCCAATTATTAATTAATACATCCAATCCAACATTTTGTGCAACTGTATCAAAAGCAACAATTACTCTTCTATCACTGTCGTGTTTAATAATTACATTTGCAATATCAACATCTCCAAAAAAACAATTTCTAATCCACATGTTTGATGTTAATGCTTCATTTTCCAGTAGTGTATATTTTAAAGTATCTTGTAACGAAACTTCACATAACCTTAATTCTTTTGCAATTTTTTCTCTTTTTTCTTGACTACAATCTTCTAAGATTTGATGATGATTTCTTGAATGAATATATTTAATCAAAATTGATAATCTCTCAAATGGCATGATATCTATTTGACAACTTTTTAATCTTATTAATTTGTCTTGTGTTGTTGGTAACATTATAAATTTCCCTAATATTGTATTTCCACAAAATGGTGATATTAATTCTATATACATAGTACTAATAGTCTGTCCTTCACATTTTAGTTGAACCATTCCTGGTTTAGTGTCTTTACGTCGTTTAATTTGGAAATCACTAAAATCCATTGACATTGAACTCCATTTCACTGTTCCTTTTTTTTTCAAGTTTCTTTTTAAATAAAAAAATAGAAAATAATAAAAAAAAGGTTATTAAAGAAAACATTTTTTTAAATAAATTTTTTTATTATTTTCGTAAAAAGTTTTTTATTAATTTTTGTGATTTAATTTTTTCTTGTAATTTATTATAAAATATTATTATTTTACTAATTTAAAAATAAGAAAAAGAGTTCATTATTTTTTATTTTGGATAAGTACTAATTGAAAGAATGGAAAATGAAATAAATGATTGTCCTATAGGAAGAGCATCATTTATGAGAATGAAAAAGCGTCAAAGTAGAGATGAAGAAGCTTCATTTTCAAATGCATATTTGTTTTTCTTATTAAGTGAATGTGGAGCATCAGCATCATTAAAATATACAAAAGGGGCACAAAAAACAGTAAAGTTATATGTAGTAGATACAATAACAATTGATGGTAAATTACTTACATCACAGACAATAAGAGAAAAAGGAAGAGAATTATTAATTGAAAAGAAATGGCCAATTGGAAATATAAAGTTTGAGACAATGAGTTTAAAACAACAAAAACGTTCAGGAGAAGCAGAGACGTGTAATGGATATCTTAAAATTCTTATGGAAAGAAAATTTGTTCCAGAATTTAAACAAACAAAGTCAAGTAAAAAAACAGTAAAAATGTTACGAATTACTAAATTAAAAACTCCATTAGGTAAATGTTATAATAAAGATTTGTTAAGAAAAGTTGGTATTAAATTCGATGAAGTAGTTCAAAAAGGATTTAAAGGCTATAAAACTTTAAATTTGAATAAATTATTTGTACAAGAAATTTGTCAAATGAGTTTAAATGAAATTGAAAATCCACAACAACATGAATTTATGAATAAAGATTTTGTTTGGTATTTTGACGACCACGACATATTTATCAAAACTCCAACAATGATTCAACGATATGTTTCATTTGATACTATTCCAATCCTTCATTTTTCATCTCTCAGTAATTAATTGTTGATTTTGTTTTTCTTCAATTTTTTTTTAAGATTAATTATTAATTATTTATATTAATGGCTTTTCTTTTTTATTCACTTAAAATACCATTCATATTTTTCCTTCTATCTTAACTTTCTTAATTTATCTTTCTTTTCTTGCTTTCTTTCTCTAAGATTTCCTTTTCATGAAAACAAAAAAGAACTGGATACTTTCAAAATCATATACGAATTTGACACGACCACAAGGTAAAACTTAAAATTACTAAAGAACTTAAAATTATTTAACGTGAAAAACAAAGAAGCTAAAAATATATTTTCAAGCTTAAACGAAAAGGAGTCTTAAGATTGATGATTTAAGAGATTATAATCTGAACTTATATTTCAAAACTCATGACTGAAGAACAAGTACAACCACAAATCAACCCAGAAGAACCACAAGTTAATCCAGACGAACCACCTAATTTCAATATTGAATCAGAGGCTGATGTTGAACCATTAGTTCTTCAATTAAAAGCTTTTCTTGAAAAACATGACCTTGATGTTTCCGTTAAGTTTAAACCAAAGAAGATGAGAGGATCAACTTCCTTGGTTGATGGAGATGGACTTAAAACAGGAGAAGTTAATATTCCAGCAGACTTTAAAATCACTGGTAAAGATAATAATGGTAAAGATCTTGGACATGGTGGAGATGATGTAAAAGTTAAAGTAATTGACCCACAAGGAAATGAAGTTCCATGTGAAGTCAAAGATAATGGTGATGGAACTTATGATGTTGGTTATACTCCAGTTGTTCCAGGAATGCACAAAATTGAAGTTGTTGTTAATGATGAACCAGTAGAAAATACTCCAGTTGATGTACTTGTCTTTGATGAAATTCCTGATGCTCTTAATTGTACTGCTGAAGGAGAAGGATTAGAAAATGCAGAAACAAAAACACCAGCACCATTTAAGATTGTTACAAGAAATAGAGCAGGTGAACAACTTAAGAAAGGAGGACAAAAATTCAATGTTACAGTTCAAGGACCAACTATTGCTGCTGAAGTTACTGTTAAAGATAATGAAGATGGTACCTATGATGTTGAATATGTTGCTAAAGAACCAGGAAAACATCATATTGATGTTCAAGTTGAAACACCAGTTACTCCATCAGAAGGAGAAAAGATTAATCCAGATAATAAAGAAATGAAAAGTATTAAAAATATGCCAATTGATCTTGAAGTTAAACTTAATCATGAAGATGCTGATCCAGCACAATGTTGGGCTGAAGGACCAGGAGTTGAAGGAGGATGCAAGACTTGTGATATGGCAGAATTTATTATTCATGCTGTCAATCCAAGTGGAGAACCATGTACTCTTGAAACAGTTCCATTTGATGTTTGTGTAACAGATCCAGATGATGAAGAACTTGAAACTAAAATTGAAAAGAAAGATGATGGTACATATCATGCAGAATATAAACCAACTAAACCAGGCAAATATAATGTTGAAGTTATTTTAAGAAATCCAGAAGTTCCATCTAACTTTGAACATATTAAAGGATCACCATTTACACCAGAAATTCTTCCAGGTATTACTGCTGGTAATTGTGTTGTTAGTGGACCAGGTGTAGATGGAGGAGAAGAACTTGATGATTGTAATGATGCAGAATTTGTTATTACAGCTAAAGATTATAATGGAGATCCTATTAAAGAAGGAGGAGCTAAATTTGATATTAAAGTTCATGATCCAAATGGAGATGATTTAGAATGTGAATGTGTTGATAACAACGATGGTACTTATAGTTGTAAATATGCACCAGAATTCCCAGGTGATTATACAGTTGATATTAAACTTAATGGTGATAAAGTTGGTAAAGCACCATATGAAGTTTGTGTTGGAGAAGGAGTTGATAATCAAAAATCAGGAGTTGATTGCTTCCAATTTACTATTCTTGCTAAAAGTAAAAGAGGAGGACCTGTTAAACCAGGTAATGCTAAATTCTCAGTTAAAATTATCCATGAAAATGGAACAGAAATTCCACAAGAAAATATTGATATCAAAAATTTAAAAGAAGCTAAATACAGAGTTACTTATAAAGTTTCAGAACACGGTGATTATACAATTCATTGCTTATTGAATAATAGAGACATTAAGGGATCACCATGGGTTCAACAATGCTAAAACAAGAAAGAAAAATCTTCTTTAGTTTAAATTGACCGTTCATTTTTCTGTTTTGTATGATATTTTTTTTAATTAATTTTATATATAACATTAATTAAAAATAGTTTAACAAAGAAATTGAACTTAATTAAAAAGAAAAAGAGAAAAAAACAACCCTAAAAGTCAGAAAAGAGAAAATGAAAAGGAGAGAAAAGAAGTGAGAAGATATGAAAATAATAAGAGTCACAGTAAAACAAATTAAAGAAGGAGTTGTAATGAAATAAGTATAAACCAAAGTGTAGGTGGTAGTAATAAAAAGATAATAAAGAGAAAAATACCTTCTTTTTAGAAAGAAAGATAAAAATGTGAAAGAAAATACTTAAAGGGTTTTAAAGGGTTGTTAAAGAGGGTTGACTAAAAAAATTAAATTATTAGATGGAAGAAGAAAAACAAGTTGATACCACTACTGTGCAATCTAGCACACCTCCAATGTCTCCACAACACTCTCACTCAATAACACCATCAGCGTCTCCAAAAGAGAATAAAGTTTCAACACCACTTTCTCCTGATAGAGAAGATGGTGGTGTTACAACACCAACACCTAGTAAGAAAGAAGAAGAAACAAAACCAAAAAAGAGTTCAAATGAGAGTGTTACTGTTATAGATAAAGATGTTGAACAAAATAAATGGAATAATTGGTCAGTAGTATGGGTTAAACAAAAAGGATATCCATGGTGGCCAGCTAAAATTATAATAATGGATAAATTAAATGAAAAAAAAAAGAGACAATTAGAGAAATTAATAGAATTTAAAAAGGATAAAAAGTATTTAGTTAAATATATTACAAATGGATATCAATTTGGTTGGGTAAATGACAGTCAAATTAAACCATTCAAAGAAGAGTTTATGAATGTTATTACTGAGAGAATGTTAGGAAAAAAAGATATTGTTGAATCCATAAATAAAGCAATTGAAATAGCAAATGATAAAATTTCAGAAAATGATATTGATAAATTCCATAAAGCTGTTATAAAAAAAGAAAAACAAATGGAAGAAGAAGAAAAGAAAAAAGAAAAAATGAGAAATTGTGATATTGGATTTATGGTTGTTAGTGACCCGATGATTGAAATAACTAAAATTGAAGGAATTGTTGAAAAAAATATTGAAAATAATAATAGCTCTCTTCAAAAATTAAAAAATTGGAAAGAAATGGAGTATTGTCAAATTGTTGAAGAATTAAATAAATTAATGAAAGAACCAATTATGATTCATGAAATAATTAATCCAATAAATAAAGTTGGAGAATTATTAAATTCAATTTGTCAAAGTACTAATATCGAAATTTCAGTATTAGCAGAAAGAGTATTAGAAAGAATTAAAAAAGAATTAAAATATGCAATTGTATCAGGTGAATATCAACGCTGTAAAGAAATTTTTAATTAGAAACATTCATTTAAATAAAAGATATATTTTTTTTATAAAAGAATTATTAAAAATTTATTTTAAAAGAAAAAAAAATAAAACAGAGAAATAATTAATTATCAATAGTAAAAGAATTATTGATTCTTACAACCTTGTTTCTTTGAACTTTTTTCTTTTTTATTTTTCTTAGTTAATTTAATTCCTGTTTCAGATGCATATTCTTGAACAATTGTTGAAAGAGCTTTTTTAATTCCTTCCGGATCACTAATTGTTGTTTTAAAGAATAAAACTTTAGGATATTTCTCTAAGAAACTTTTAAGAAGTTCTTCATTGTTATTATGTTGAATGTCTATTTTATTTAAAATAATTACTGTTAACTTAACGTCATCAGCACTCCACATTGGACTTTCAAAAAGAGTACGACAATAATCAACATCGTCATTATCTTCATCAGCTGACATTACAAAAATTTGAATTGGTCCTGATTTATTATGGGTTTCCATTGTTACTGAGTTATCTTCAATATTTTCTGCCGCAACATCATACTAGTAGATATTAATTTATATTTTGATTTATTTTTTAATTATAAAATAATAATAACAATATTTTGATTTTGACAAACGATTTGTAGTTTTAGTGTTGTTTTTCCTATTGGATAATCAACTTCAACCTTGCGAGGTTCGTGATGGTCATAACTTGAAGGCTGTGGAGTGTCCTATATAATGGTTATTTTTTACTCTTTTCTTCTTAAATAATTTTTAAATTATTTAAATCTCCTTTTTATTGTCTTTTAAAAACTAATATAAATTTATTTACAAACGCTCCATACATTTACAATCGTTGATTTACCAACTTTTTCTTTTCCCCACATAACAATACCAATTGGAATAACTTCTGTCATTTTTTTGAAATGTAATAATTTGTTAGATTTTTTATTGTTTTTTATTTTTAGATTTTTTTTTTCGATTGTGGAAGTTAGTTCTTATTAATTTTATTACTTCCTATTACTTTACTCTTTCATTGTTATTTTTCTTCATTATTAATTTCATTATGGAAAATTCTTTTAAATTTAAAATATTACAATCACAGAGGTTAATTTGGTTCAAATCTATCATTTAAGAGATAATTTCTTGAATCAATTAATTATATTACATGATAGTTTAACTCTGCTGTGTAACTTATTAATATTAAAATAAAATAACCTCATAAATACTTATGTTTTATAGAAATTACTACAAGTAGAAACGCATTCATTAATAATAATACCTTAAAAAAGATATGGAAGAATTAGTAAAAACTGAGAAACTACAAAACAGTAAATAAAAGAATATAAATTAGAATTAAGTTTTTGAAATACTGAAGAAAAATTAAAAATGAGTTGAAAAAAAATATAAGATAGTTAAATAGATAAATATTATAATTAATTCTAAAACGTTTATTAAGAATTTTTTTATCTTTAGACTCAATATAAAATTATGATCAAGGAAGGAAAATTAATTTTAAATAGATTAGGAAGGATTAAATATAATCTGATATAATCTATTTCTTAAATTATATAAAGAGGATATCATTGATTTTCTAATAAAAATCCAATTATAAAACATAAGTAAAAATTAAATTACTAACTAAGTAAAATATTTCTAGATACCATACCTTCTATTGATTATTGAGTTACTTATCTAGTTTATTGTGTTGTCGTTAAAACAAATGAAATAAGATTTTAATTAAATGGTGTAATGTTATTAAACAAAAGGAAAAAGGTTCATCAATTTTCAAAAACTAACTAGTGTTAAGAAGATTCATTCAACTAAAGTTTTATTCTATTAAGTATCTAACAAGACCACCGTTATCCTAAATAAAAATCAAACTCATCATTTTTGTATAATAATTGTTTATATTGTTCTTCTTGTACTTTAAAGATATAATTTCAATACATAAACAAATGTTATTCTAAAGATAACAAATATAAGAAGATGTATATAAAGGATTATTTAAAGTGTGAAATTTGTCATAAAAATGTTCTAATCTTTTGAAAAAGTTTTATACAAATCATTTGTACTAGTACATATTTATATGATTATGTTTTTCATATTAATTTATAAAGAAAAGATCAATAAAGTAAGTGTGTATTTATATTGATTGTATTTTAAATGTAATAAATTTAATTAACTTGGTTGAATAAAGTTAATTTATCCCCTGATTATGTTTAGAAATAATTTTTATATAATGTTCTCAGGAAAAAATAACCCAGACAATAAATTATATGTAACACAAATATTTTAAAAGAGTTCAAAAGGAAGTAAAATTGATTTAAATGGAATTTAAGAAACAAGTGATAGAAATTCTTCAATGAGATATTTTTTAAAGTTAATGAAACTCTTTTTTTTTAAACAATAATGTTGAGGAAGAATACGTAAAAACTATAATTAAAAGTATGTTTAGAGGTATTCTGGATTATACGATTCACAGTAAAAATAAGTTTTGTTCAATTTAAATACAAAAAGAAAGAAAATACAATTATCACTCTATGAAAAGAATAGACAATAATTTAAAATAATAATAAATTAAAGTTTAAAAGAAGAATGAAAGAAGAATAATAATAGAAATAACTGTTGTTGATGTTACTCCACATTGGAACATGATACCATCATCACAAACGTCACACTTCCATTGGGGTATACGTTCAACTATTTCTTTACTTTTGCATTTATTATTTTGATAAACAGTTTCCCACATATATCCATTTTGTTCTTGGGAATTGCAATAATAATTTTTACCCTCATTGCATAAATAACATTTACCTGTATAATATGCCCTAAATGTGTTATCACGATGCGTACAACTCTCATCATCATCTACTACACTATGGAATCCAATATGTTTTGGTGGCTTTTTTATCTCAACAGAACAATCTGTTGAGGACTCACAATATCTTTTCAATGACTCATCATTAATATCTAATGTTTGTTCTTCATTATTTCCAGAACATGAAGGTGAGTTGTGATATAACCTAATTGTAATTTTATCACCATCATGAGTAAAATAAGATGATGAATTCACTCCATAATAATAACACAAATTAAACTCTATTAATGTAAATCCAACGGTATCACCATCATAGTTTGTTAATGCAGTAAAAACTAATGAATCTTTAGCCAAAGAAACAACAACGAGAAGTAAAAAATATAGCATATTCTTTTGATTTATTAATTATTAGTTAATCCCTTTAAATACTACAATTTTTAATTCCATCATTTAACCTATTTTTACTTAATCCATGGTTTTAGTTATTTTTTTTAATCCTTCCAACATTAAACACATTCTTTTAATGATTTATTTATATCTTTATTCATCAAATTTGTCTCAATCCTTTCTTTTTCTGTTTTATTCATTAACTCTTTTTATAATTTTATTAGACTTCCAAAATTAATTGTATTCGCACAAACCTATATTTATAAAGAGTATTTTAGTGTCATGAGTATATCAAAATTATTTCTTTTACAAAATAGTTATAATAAATGGGGTTATTTTAATAATTTTTGTATTATTTTAATCCTACATTGTTCTCTCAAATTTAATCTTCTACTGAAAGAAATTATTATTATTTTGAAATATAAACATGGTTCTTAACAAATATTCAATAAGACCTAATAATTTAAACATTTTAACTTAGATTTCTTATGATGTCTGTTAGTAAAAAAATAGCTCAAATCAATCTCCACGTTCATATAGTATTTATATTAAAAACAGAGATAATGTTTTAATAAACTTCTTTGATGTTCTTCTTTAAAAAATAATGTTTCGTGTTTTATACACTACTTCTATATTCTCTTTATACAAAACCTAGAAAGATTTATTCTTAAATAAAAATTAATAATACCAATAAATCAAATAAATATTACAAAAAGAATAATCAATACGTTCAAATATTTTTTATCTTTGTTAGTGTTTTGTCTAATTTTAAAATTGAATGTTTATATTATTTTTTAACCAAATATTATTTCAAACGCAAATAAAAATAGAAAAGAATAGGAAAATGAAAATATAAAAAATTTCATGAAGGCATTAATTAGTAAATATCACTTCTGTTAAATCATTGTAAAAAAATTGTTAGTTTAAAATAAACAAAAAAATAATGAATAAAAATAAAAACTAAATTAAAATGTTCTTAAAATAATATTAAAATAAAAAAATGAATAATAAATTCTATTATGATTATAACAAACTACTTCATGTTAAAATTTATTATAAATATTTCATCAAACAAACATTCTTTCTTGAAAATATTCTAGAATTAAAAATTTATTCATAACCAATATGTTATACCAAAGCTAAATGAATAATAACTCTTTTAACAAAGCAAATGCAAAGAATGATTGAATTATATTAATAAATAAAGGAAATATGATATTGACGTTTGAATTAATGATACTATGAAGAACGAATTTTGAAGAGAAGAACCAAGATTTGTTGGATCAAGTAAATAACGACCACAATACCAACGAACAGAAAATATAAAATAATTAAAGAAGAGAGTCAAAGAAATAATAAAAGAGATTATACGAAGTAAAAAAAGTGATAAAAGTATTGATGTGAATATTGGAATAATAGACATCCCAATAACAAATAAAAAATCACGGAAATCACAATCAATTTCAAAGCCTATATGAATCGTTAAATGAATTATTAATGCTTGAGAATTAATAAATATAAGTAAAACTAATACTAATGTACCTAAATGTTCAGGTGAAAATTGATTTGTAATTCCTTGCCATAATCCAACAAATATAACTAATGTAAATCCACTAACTAATGGTGTATATAATTCTGTAGCATATCGTTGATAAGAAGATGGTAAGAAAAAATCATTTGCATCACTTCTAATACACTTTGGTTTCCATGGAGTAGGAAATAACAAAGGAAATAGTACCATAATAATATGTTCAATGACTGAATTAACAGTTACATCAAAATAATATCTCCATTCATCGAACTCAATGTAGTGTTTATATTTATCAGTCTGTTCATTAAAGTGTCCAATGTAAGCTTTACCAAGTGTTTTAATAGGACTATTCATAACCAAACTATTTATTATTAGATTTTCTTAATTTTTTTTAATTTTTATTTTAAATTTAAATGACTTTAAAAAAAATTATGAAATATTAAAAAATAATTCATTCAGTGAATCTCTTTTGATAAGGTTCTGGTCCGATGAATTCAGGGAAATCAGATTGGCTCTTTGTAGATGAATGAATGTATTGATAATCAAATCCTTTTTCTTGATTAGCTACATAAGAACGATCATCCCAAGTGATGTCAAAATGAATTACATCAAAGAATCCTCTGTATTTTTGATTTCTTTCAATATAGCTATAAGGCCAAATATGGAATCCACAATAATCTTCATTATTTTGTAATAAATCCATATACTCTCGTGTTGGCATAAACAAGAATTCAACATAATCAAATGGAACGTCATTAGCACAAAATTCCTTTTGTTGAGTGATATCAGTTTTGTTTACTCTTAACATACAGAAATTAACCAAATTAGGATTATGAATAGATTGTGATTTATGTGTCAAGAAGAATCTTGATCCATCTAAATCTTCTTCACTACATAATTCATTTGTAAATTGATTTAAACATCTAAATTCCATTGGTCTACGATAATTCTTAGCATATTCCATCATAAAAGTATGATTGAAACATGCTGATGAGTCTGGAATATTTTGTCTAATTCCTTGTTTAGTAGGTCCAACAGCCAAATTAACACATGAATCCCAATTTTGAATATTATTGGGATTTGGACATAAAATACGTTCATCCCATTCTGAAATTTCTTGCATTATATATTTTGATGAATGAGATCCTCTATAATAATTTCTAGGTGTTGGTGGTGGAAGTTTATTTGATTTAATATTAAATTTCTTTCTTTGATCTTCTTCTGGGAAAATCCATTGATTAGCATCATAATCATAAACAGCTTCTAACCATGAATTTCTTACAATAAATGCTCCTTTAGTTCCATCTTTATTAACAAAATGATCATTATATCCAACAATATTCATTGCATGTCCTCCTTCACTAGCAGCTTTAATATCTTCAATGAAGAACTCTCCATCTGGATTCATTTCATGTTGTTCAAGGTACATACATTCTTCATTATTACTATTTGGACAATTATCTACATTCTTTACAAATGCTCTTAACATTTCATGTCCAGCAGTTGGGATAGCATATTGTCCAATAATTAATGATGAGTCAAATGCAACAGGTTTATTTGTATCAACTAATAATTTTTTAACATCATAAATATTTCTCTTAGTAGTTATACTAGTAACATTGAATTTTATTGGATTGCTTGCTTGTTTCTTTTCTTTGTCAGCACATTCCCATTGTCCTTCATTTTCTTCTGCATATGGACAAGCACTTTCTGGAAGAACTTTATCATATAAATCAGTGAATGCATATAACCATTCTACATATCCTCCTTCTGTAGAATTATTAATTCCTTCTTTACCTGGACAAGCTTCTGGATGAAGGGCACATTGATTTAAGACATCAATAGCATATGCTTGAGGTGATAATCTAAGATATTCGTTATCTTTAAGGAATCCTTTTCTAATACCATTATCTCTATATGATTGTTCCAAAAGACCAATAGTAGCTAATGCCCAACATGTTCCTCTATTATATTGACAATATCGTGGGAGTTGATAAGGTGTAACAAATGATTTTGGTAATGTAGGTTGTGTTAATCCCTCATCGACATCTTGAACGGCTTTATCCATTATGTTTTGTGCAGATAGTTGATAATTATCAAGTGTAACATATCCTGAAGTAAATATAAAAATAAGTACAAATGCTTGGAAAATAATTAACAATGCAACTAACCCCAATATACATTTTTGTAATGAGGTTGGTGCTTTTTGTTCAGCATGTCCAAGAAGACCAGTTTCCATTAATCAAATTATTTAGTTCTCATGAAAATTTTCAAGATGAGATTCTTTTTCCTTTCTATTGGAATTTTTCTTTTCATATTCTTTTCTTTTCTTTTTTTATTCAAACCAATGAACATTTATTTATCACAATAATTTTTAATATATTTATCTAATTTATAACTAATCTCCCTTTCTCAAGTATCTCTTCAATAGAGTATCGACATGACTCATTTCTTCGTTTGACCTGAGACCATACCAATCCTTTTTTATGCTCAAACAAACCACACTTTTCAATACAATCCCTTTTCTTTTCTTCAAAGTCTATAATTTTTCCTTTTTGTTCATAAAGAATTTTGTAAATCCAAATCCATGCATCTCCATAACTTGGATCAATAAAAATAACTTTTCTGAACCATTCTTCTGCTTTTTCTTTTTTACCAGTGTTATAAAGAAACTCTGCAACGGCAAATACGACATTGGCATAATCAACATCTTTATCTCTTCCTTCAAAAGCTCTTAGTGCATCAGAGCAAGCAGTTTTCTTTTTGTTAATTGGAGATGTTTGGATAAATTCTTTCCATAATTTTCCATTGGACTTACATACCTTTATTCCTTCTGATAGATATGAGTCTGAAACTTTTTTGTTTCCATTCTCTCTTTCAAAATGAATTAAGGAAATCCATAAGTCTTGATTTGTAGGATTTTTAATTTTTCCCCTTTCATAAATTGTTCGAGCTTTGCTAACAGAGAAAGGTCCAGGTTGGTGAAGCTCTGATTGAGCAGCTACAATCCATAACTTTACAGATGTTTCGTTTAATTTTAAAGCATTTTCATAGATTTTTCTTGCATCAATAATATTTTGTTTTCTTATCTCTCTTTTTATCTTAAATAATATTAAGTCAACATTTTGAGGATCAATAGAATCACCAGATAGAATCATTTCATTTTCTTTTTCATTATCTTTTAATGACAAAGCGATTTTAATTCCTTTTTTAATAAGTTTCATAGATTTACAAATTTTTATTCCTTGTCGAACATAGTTGAATGCTTCTTGTAAATGATTTTCATTTAATTCTAGATCAATTATTCCAATCCATACACTTTCACCTCCTTTGCCTTTATCAATTATCTTTTTTAATAAAGATTCTGCAATAGAGGGTGTTCTTTTCATACACCATTCAACAAATTTTTTCCATATTTCTTCACTGTCGATTACATCAATAGCATGTTGGAATACAACTTCAATTTCTTTTTCATCATTACCACATACACGAATGAGTTCCATCCATAACTCATCATTTTGGGGTTGTACTTGTACTGCATGTTGATAAATCATTTTAGTAATTGTATCATTTGAATATGTTTGTTCTATGTGTCTCCAAAAAGAAATTAAATCCTTTTCTTTATAATCGATTATATAATCAATAATTCCTTTTAATGTAGCTTTTGCTTCATTAATATATTTTACTCCTTCGTCAATCCAAATATTTTTTTCAATAGAAAGATTTTCTTTGTCAAAATATTTTAATGCTTTTTTAATAATACCAATTGCTTTTTCTGGGTTGTGTCCTTTTATCTCTTCTATCCTTGCTGCAGCAATCCAAATAAGGGGTTCTTTGGGAAGAATTTTAAGACTTTGATTTAAAATCTTTTTACTATTTTCAAAATTCTCTTTTTCAGCAAAGATAATCCATAATTCAACACATTGTGGTAGAGTTTCAACAGCTTGTTTCATAGTTTGTTTTTGTATTTCTCCATCTTCTAATTCAATAGTTTTCTTCCATAATTCAATTGAATTGCTTACAAATTCTAGTCCTTTATGTGCAATTTTTCTTTTTTCAATAATATTTCTTTCAAGCTCAATTGCTTCAAGCCATAATGACGGTTTCTTTGGAAGTACAGCTATTGCACTTGCACAAATATCACTTCTTACTTCTATAGGATGAAGTCTAATTGCTTGTAACCAAATTTCATCACTATTTGGACATTTTTGAGTTCCTTCCATAATAATTTTTCTTGCTGCAGAAAGATGTCCTAAACTTTCCTCTATTAATGCTGATTGAATCCATCCAACAGCTAATTGAGGTTTTGTTGTTCTCATTGATTTAAATAAAAATTTATATTGTTTAATTTGTGTAATATCATTTTCTGTTAATTCTTGATTTTGTCCTAATTCTGTAAGATATCCACTAACATCAACTGAACTTATAGAAGTTTTGGATCCATCAAGACTTAATTGCAATGTTTTTTTTCTAGTATTTCCTAATTGAATGAGATCTGTTTGAGTAGGATTAATTGTTCCTTTGATTTGATTATGATTATAATTAGATACAATCACAGTATCAGGTAATGGCATATGTCTACCTTCTAAAAATTCATTTTGGACTTTATAATTTCTTCTTCCTGTTGCTTCAGGAATTTTCATCCAATCTTCAAGACTCATTTTTTTCATCTCATCTTTGATATCTGCAAATTGTTGAGAAATAGTCGGATGTTTTTTTTCATATTCTTCTTGTTCTTTCTTTTCTCTAATTTCTTTTCTTCTTTTTCTTCGTTCTTCCATTCTCTTTTCTACAATCTCATATGTCTTTTCTGCAATTTCATCATTGATACCATTTTCTTCTTCATGGTCATCATCAAAATTTGCTTCACCAACCATTAATGTCCTTGCTGGACCAATATCATTTTGAGTAATAAAACCTGTGTCTTCTCTTAATGAACCAGCGATATAACCTTTAGGTCCTTCCATATTTAAAAAATCATATTTTCCTTGTGGTTTCATCGTTATAAATTATTCTTTTCTTTTTAAGATGGTGTGTTTGTCAATGAAATAAAGAAATATTTGTTTTAATAATAACAATGAAATATATTAAAATATTTAGAAAACAAATAAATTGTGTTATTTCAAAAATTCAAGTAGTTCTTTTTCGCAATGTTTTTCAAAAGCTGAGACAGAAAACTTTTTAGATTTTTGAATTGCGGCTTGTCTCATTTGAGCAGCCTTTTCTGGGTCATTTATAATCTTGAAAATAGCGTCTGCATATTCTTTTGGTGTTGTTGCAAGATAACCACACTGATCATCAACAATATCTAACTCTGGTCCAGCACTTTTATGGGCAACAGGAATAACTCCAAATCCCATATACTCTACAACGCAAATACCGAAATGCTCATTAATCATAGTGTGAAGACCAATCTCAGCATTCTTAAGATATTCAATTTTCTGTTCATATGAAGTACTTTCAGGGACTGTAATAACGTCAGTTAATTGATCTTTCTCAATTGTTTTAATAACTTCTTCTTTACGTTTAAGGTCTTCTTCATCACGAGCCCCACCAATAACTACGAATTTTATTTTATTTTTAATTTCAGGGTGTTCTTGTACTAAAATATTAATAGCTTCTATTTGAACCAAATGTCTTTTTTCAGGTCTAAATTGACCAATAGAAATGATAAGATGATAAGATGAATTTTTTTCATTTGGATTAGATGCATTAATATCACATGGAGGATAAAGTAAATGAGGTTGAATTTTCCATAATTGAGAAATATGGTTTTTAGTCCAAGTTCCATTTACAAAGACTAAAGAAGCTAAATTTCCAACTAAGTAATAAAAATAAGCAAATACTTTATAATACAAGATTTTCATAGTTGAAAGTATTGAACTTCGTGCAATTGTATTTGTATTGTTAATACCAACTTCTCTATTTTGAACTACATTAAGCATATCAGTTGATATAGTAGGATAATGAGTATAAGTCATAATCTTTGCACCTGCTAACCATGCAAATGGATAAGTAAATGCGTACCCTGTAGTATCAAAGAAATATTCTGCATTACATTTAAGTAATGCATCAAAACAACAAATCATTGAACCAATTGCTTGGAAGAATAAAGTTAAAAAGGGATATTTTTTTATAACTAAAGAATAACTATATTTGATTTGATAGAATTGAATATTACAGTCTAAGAAGTCAAATCCAAATGTTAATTTTACTTTTTCTAATATTTTATCTTTTGGAGACGTATCAGCAGTAAAGATAACAATAGAATAATTAGGGAATGAATGAAGAAGAACTTTAATTATAACCCATAATACCATTTCTCCTCCTCCACCAGCAGAACAATTTGGATGAAAGAAAGCGATGGTTCTCTTTTTTTGATATTTGAATCTTAGAATTAATAAAGTTAAGATAATAATTGGTAAAAGAATACAGAAAGAAAGAAACACAACCATTTTATTTCTTTTTAGTTTAAAATTTTTTTAAAATTTTTTTATTTTTTTTAAACAAATTACTTTAATACTCAATAATTTATTTAAAATCAATGGATAATATAGAAAAAATTTATAAAAAGAAGATAAAAATTAAAAAATAACAAAAAAAGAAAAGAAAAAGGAAATTTATTGAAATGATCCTTCTTCTCATAACCATCATTTCAATAAGTAGAAGCCTTCCACTAACAAGAACACTTAATGTTTTGTTTGATGGAACATGGACAGTGAGTGATCCATTAAAATCTACGTATTATTATTTAACAATACATGAAGTAGCAAATGAAGATTTTTATATTGGAAAGTTTAATAAACCACCACCTTGTTTTTCACAGTTTTACAAAATTAATTTCAATAATCTATTTGTTAATATAACTACAATATCTAATCAATTCATCACTGCTATTCGATTTGTAAATTTTAAGAACACTTTAGTCGGTAAATCTATTATGATTGTTTGTGGTAATGTAACTGAATATACTTTTACTATCCTTCGTTCAAATTCTCCAACATTCACTATTTCTCATCGTAGTACTGTAAATATTACTAGAGGTTTTATTGTTGGAACAAAACATAGTGCTTCAATACCTAAACAATCTTTCCTCCAAAAACACTTCCTCAGTATTTTGATCACATGTTTCTTTAGTTTGTTTTTATTCAACTATTGTGTATAGTTAGTTTTATTAATATATATAGTATTTATTATTTTCAGTCATTTTCTTCCTACTTTTCCAGGGAATTAAAAATTGAACCTGTTCAGGCATGTTTCCTTTGTTACTATGAGTAATTTTTTACCAACATATAATTGAATTTCAATTCTGATATACTCGTGTTTATTTAATAATATTTTTAAATTATCTTCTGAAATTGAACTAAAAAAAAGAGTAAATAATGATGCGTAAAGTAATACAATTTATTGTTCTATTACTCTTTTTCATTTCTAGTATAAATGGAAAAATTCATTGTAATAATGGCGTCAAATTAAATCATCAAATTAAACCCATCACTTTGGTATATCCTAATGTAGACCATGATAAATTAATTTATAATCAAACTGCTTGTGAGTTATTGTCTAGTCAAATAAATTGTTTGGGTAATTATATTATTTTTAATATTTTTTAATAACTTATTATATAGGGAAAGTAATATCTGTTATTGGTCCATATCATTCTGGTAAATCATTTTTATTAAATTCATTAACAAATATCACAGATATTTTTCCTGTAGTTAATAGTAATAAACCAACTACACAAGGAATCCAGATATTTATTTCAGAAAAAGAAGGAATTGTTTATTTAGATACTGAAGGTCTTTCAAGTGGACTTGCCAATTCAACAGAAGCATATGATGCAATGATATATAGTATAGCTGCATTATCTAGTAATTTAATGATATACAACACTATCCGTACTATTGACCAACAACAATTAGATTATCTTGAATTATTATCACGAAGAGCTCAATTATTTGCTTTAAAAAGTGAATTACAAAATAGTGGAAATCTCAGTAAATCATTTGTTTCTTTTCCACCATTATTTTGGGTTGTTCGAGACTATGCTTTAGATGAAAGGACAGAAAGCTGGTTCTTTTCATTATTAGAAGCAAGTCAAAGAAAAGAATTTGGTAAAGCAACCTCAGAAAAGAATACAGAAAATGAATCTATTAGACTTCAAAAATTATTTGAAAAGATGAAGGCATTTACATTATTCCTTCCTCATATAAATAAAGAAAATTTAAAAGAATTAAAAATTCAATGTTTAAATGAAGAATTTTTAAATGACCTTCAAATATTAAAAAAATCTATACAAGAAACTATTAAAGGAGTTGGGATATCAGCACGCCAATTTTGTAGTACTATTAATTTTTATGTACATGCAGCAAATAAAAATTTATTTCCAGTAATTCCAAGTGTATGGAATGGATATATTAAATCATTAAAGTTATCAGTAAAAGAATCAGTTTTTGATTATGCTAAAAATAATACAGATAAAATTAATGAACAAAATATAGTATTTACTGAAGAAGAGATTAATAATAAAATTGAAATAATAAAACAAAATTGTAAAAGAATTGCTGAACAAATGTTATTTGGAATAAAAGATTTAACAGAAAATGTTTTACAAGATATTGAAATAGATATTTCTAGACCAATTAAAGAATTGAAAGAAAGAAATAATGAAAAAATTCAAAATTATATTAAAGAAGAAGCAAAAAAGAATAAAAATGAGTTAATAGAATTAATTAAAGAAAATAATATGCCTTTAAATAAAAAAGAATTAAATATAATAATTAATAAATTAAAAAAGCGATATAACCAACGAATGGAAAATATTTTTAATAAATTTCATTCAACAGAAATAGATGAAGGAATAAAACAAGAAACATTTCAAGAAATATTTAATAAAAATAAAATAATTTTAAATGAAGTATTAAATTCTTTAGAATTAAAAACTATTAATTTATTCTCTACTCAAACTGAATTAATGTCAAATAATAAACTTATTAACGAACTTAATCAAAGGATTCATCAATCATTACTCTTTTTTGATAAAGATACTATTAAATTTAATGATTGGGAAGAAGTCTCTTTTATTAGAACAAAAATTGAAAATCAATTAATAAATTTAAAAGAAGAAACAATTAAAAAAAATCTTAAAGAATTATTTCAATTTTTACAAAATGAAAAAAATAAACGAATAAATGAATTTATTGAACAAATAAATACTATTAAAATGCCATTAATTGATAGTCAACTTAATGAAATTATAAATAAAATTGAAAAAAATATTTTACTTAAAATGAATTTTAGTTGTAAGAAATTTATTAATGATGAAACTTATACAACTGTTTTTAATGAATTACAATTATTTATTAATACAAAAAAGAAAATTTTAGATCAACAGAATTCTGAAATGTTTGTTCAAATAACTCTTCATGATTTTGATAGAATTAGAAAACAAATAAAAAAAGAAAATCATTCATTTTTTAATCCATGGTCTTTAAAAAAAGAATATAAAAAATTATATTCTGATGCTATTGCTAACTCAATCCCTGATTTAAAAACTCGTAATAAAGTTGTTGAAAATTTCATTTTAGATGAATATAAAACTGAAATTAAAAATGTAACACTTAAATTTACATCAGGAATTATTCTTATTTTCTCAATTATTGCAACTTTGATCTACAAATTTTTTATGTGACCATTTTTAAATTTCAAATATAATAAAACTCATTTAATCTTGTTTTATTTTTTTAATTTAACAAATTGAAATTTATGAATTTATTAAAATATTAATGTCATTTTTAAATAAACTTCTTTCGAGAAAAAGATAATTCAGATTATTTGAAGTATTTTAAAGAAATAGGAGGATAATTTATATTAATAAGTTCTTTATTTGTGAATGACTCAGACAATTTTCATTCAAAAGTATTATAAATAAATTTTACACTATTTTTCTTGATATTTAATCAAAGTTGAATTCTTAATTTTAACTTCTAAATTTATTTCAGTTCTAATCAAAAATTTATATCAAAAAATTAATTTAAATAAACAAAACATGTAAATAAAACTATACTCTTAAATTTTAAGATACATTCTAACAGAATAATATCTTAACTTTTTAAACTAATTACTAATAAAGTTGTTTAAATAGATTTGTTGCTTCAGTGTTAATAAGAATGAATTTATAAATATATTCTCATACAGAGTTTGTATAAAGTCATAATGTTGTATCTTAAAAGAAAGAACCTTAATTAATTTTCAAAAAAAAATAATTTTTGTAAATATTAAGAATTAGATAAATATATTATTTCCTAACTCCAATAGTATTTTTTTTGAAGAAGAAAGAATCAATAAAAAAAATTCTTCTATTAAAGAGGAAACGGTGAAATAAAAAGACATAAATAAAAATAACAAGGAGGTTATTGTCATATATTAAAATAGCATTTTGTTATGATTGTTTGGTTGTGATCCAATAAAAATATACTTTTTTATTCCTAATTTAAAATTATAATTAAATGATACATAAAAAAAAAATAAATGCTTATCATTACTATTTGTCAATTCATTTTTATTTTGTATAGTTCTCATTTTGCTAGTGAAACAAAAAAAAATGAATTTAAATAACACATTAGAAAATAATTGATATAATTGAGTCAATAGGAATAGAAATAAACATAAATAAATGTGGAGTATTAAAGAAATATACACATCCCAGATAATATGCATACCATACCATTAGTAGATGAAAAACATACATAAAAATATTTAAGAGTTTATCAAATTACAAGAAGTGATGATTAAGATGTATAGAGAAAATAATTAACAATATAAAAGAAAGATTAGAAGAAATAAATAAAGGAAGTGATATTAATAGGAATTATATTAATAGAATTAATGCAAAATAATACCAAAAATCAAATATAGTGGTTCTGTTGTTAAGTGAACAATTATGAAATTAAATGAAGTAGATAAAATGATAAGAAAATAATTTAAAGAAAGAAATATAATAGGCACAGGAATGTGTACTAATAGATTATATGTAAATCAAAATAATAATAATAATAATAATAATAATAATAATAATAATAATAATAATAATAATAATAATAATAATAGAGATGGATTAAAGAATGTAAGGGACGAATATTGTAATGAAATAATAAAATTATTATGTATTTCATATGGAAAAGAGGAGATAAAATAGGAGATGTGACAAAGTTAAATGAAAAAAAAGAAAGGGATATTGAATAGATTGTATAAATCATGTTGAAAAAGATAAATAAAGAAAAATTTAAAAGAATGAATGAGGAAGAAGAAAAAAAGAAAGATAAAAAGAAAATAATAAAAGATATAAAAGATAAATTTCAAGAAGAATGTATCAATAACTGGAGAAATAAGAAAATAATGAAATTTTAAAATGATTTGAAGACAAAAAGATAGACCAAAAGAAAACAATTAATATTATAAGGAATATATTCAAATAAAGAAAAAGCAACAAATATTGGAATAAAGAAAGCGATATGGATAAATGAACCAAAACATAAAATGTGTAGTATTTGTAATAAAATATCAACAATAAATATATCATTCTCAGTCGTATAATCAATAAAAAATTACAGATAAATAAACATGATAAAATGAATATACATAGAGTGGTTTAAAGATTAAATAAGAAATATATTCAGATGAAGAAATAAAAAAGTGAACAAGAAAATACAAAGAAATTAATAATAAGAAAAGATGAATTATGAAAAAATGAAAGAAGAATAGAGAAAGATAAGATACTTAATTATTTTGAATCAAGAAATAATAAATAAAAATTAATAAAAATAAAATTTCTATAAAGACATGATAATTATGTAAGATATTTAAAGAAGAAAGAGGTATTAATCATAGATATGACAATAGTAAGAGATAAGAACATAAGCAATGAATTTATAAATAAAATAAATATGTATATGAAATTACATGAACATATTATAAAAATAGAAAGATTAATAAGAATAATAATTATCCCATTAGTAATAACAATAGGTGGATTGATAAATAAAGAAACAGTTAGATTATTAAGAAGTGAAAAAAAAATAAAAATAAAAGTGAAATAATAGTAAAAGATAATGTAATAACAAATATGAAAGAGCATAAGAAATACTGCGGTGATCATTCTAGAGAATACAGAGATGTAGAACAAGCAGAAGAAGTTAACTCTACTGAGGGTGAATGATGTGAAGAAATTCTCACTCGAACAACAGGTCAAAATTATTAAACCTTAATTTATTATATCATAGTTCTCATTTTATCTTTTTGATTATTATATACTCTATTATCTTTTTTTATATCATCAAAAACTCATATTCAACTGTTCTCACTTTTTATTGTCTGTGTGTTATTTATAAACCTATTTTTTTTATCCCTTTACATAGTAAAACATATATCCTCATTTAATTCACAAATTTTATTTAGTAAATTTATCGTTAGAGTTTTAAAAAATCGATTTTTTGGTTCAAGAATTTTCATATCAAATTCCTCTTTCAAATCATCACAGTTTTGTTTCTATTTTTTGCATTTTTTAACCATTAAAAAAACTGATTGATAAACCCAAATACCTCTTATCATCAAAGTAATAAATTTATTAAAAATTTTTACCTAAAAAAAAAGAGAAACCAATAAAAAAATTTTCAGTTCATGAGAACTGAAAATAAAAGGACAGAAGAACATATTGTTTTAGTCAAAAACATAGCAAAAATTAAGGGTTTTAAGACAAACAGAAGAAAAATACTAAAAATATAACATATGAGTTGGCAGAGGTATTTAAAAAACTAAAATTGAATGTATGAACAAAAACAGACATGTCAATGAATATTCAACTTACTGTCATTGGAGCTCGTAATATTAAAGCAGCAGATGTAACTGGTACATCTGATGGATATGTAAAAGTAAAAGTAGGAAAAAAGAAAGAGAAAACCAAGATTGCAAAACCATCATTAAATCCAGATTGGAATGAAACATTTAATTTCCAAGTTAGTCCAAAAGAAGAAATTCAATTTAAATTATATGATCACGATAGAATTGGTAAAGATGATAAACTTGGAAAAGTAAAATATTGTGTTCCACAACTTATTACTGGTGATACAATTTATGAAATTCTTAAAATTGATGAAAAAGGATTATTATATATTTCTATTAAATGTGTTTCAGGTGGAATTCCTCTTCAATATCAACCAGTTCGTAGAGATACTAAGGTATTATTAAAAATTTCTATTCCATGTGTTTATTTATATCCATGTGTTATTCCAAAAGAAGCACTTGATAATAGTAATTATAATGTTAGAGTTGGATTTAAAACATCTATGACTCCACATCAAAAAACTAAAAAAGTTAGAGAGTTATGGTGTGCTAAATATGATGAAGATTTCTATTGTTGGGTTAAAACTGGTGAAAAAATTAAATTTGAATTAATCTTTAAAGAAACTCTTGGAATTAAAGATACTTTATTAACAACTGGAACATGGTGTGTTCCTGATTTACTTGATGGTGAAGAAGTTAATGCTAAAGTAAGTTCTAAAAAGTTTGCTACATTTAATGTTAAAGTTAGATGTATTAATGGTATTTATCATAATGTTGCTCCTAATGAAATTCCACCAATGTATGATCCAAAACCTCAACAAGTTTATAAATATGAAGTTTTCATTGAAAAAGCTGAACACTTAAAAGGTAAAGATTTTCTTGGAAAGAGTGATCCTTATGTTATTATTAAGACTGATAAATCAAAGAAACAAAGAAAATCTGTAACTATTATGAATAATGAAAGTCCTAAATTTATGGAAGCTTTCAAAGTTAAAGCAACTGTTGGTAGTGAAATTAAATTTAAATTATTTGATGAAGATCCTGGAAAAGATGACAAACTTGGAAAATGCAAGTTAGTTGTTCCTGGTGACCTTAAAGAAGGTGAAGTAAGAAAGTTTACTCTTGAAGTTTCTAAAGGAAAGAATGCTAAATTATATGTTGAACTTAAGAGAATGAAAGACTTCACTTGTACCTATGCTACTAGATTCCTTGGTTTTAAACCATCTGTTGCTCCAATGGGACAAGGTTATCCACCAATGGGAATGCCTCCAATGCAACAACCAGGTATGCCACCTATGGGTTATCCACCAATGCAACCTGGACAATATCCACCACAAGGTTACCCTCCAATGCAACAACCAGGTATGCCACCTATGGGCTATCCTCCAATGCAACCTGGACAATATCCACCACAAGGTTATCCTCCAATGCAACCTGGTGCCCAACACTAATTCCATTGAATGACCTCTAATTTACAAGTAATATTAAGGTAATAAATTAACTTTTATTCTTCTTGATGGTTTTGATTATTTTATTACTTTTATTTCATCAAAAAGAAGAGTCATATTAGTTCTAGAATAAAAATCATAGTAACGATGCTATTTATTTTATGTTATATTATATTAAATATTAATGAAGTTTCTTATAACAAATCATTTCAAATTTAAATAATATATGAAACAAACACTTGAAACACTACATATTAAACTTATTAAATGAACTTAGTAACAATATAAAAGAACACTTTCTTCTTTTTAAATATTATAAACCTTATTTTAAAGAAATATAAATTAATTTGTATTAGAAATAATAAATAAAATCAATTAGACTCAAAGATGAATAGTTCTGTATCACAATTCTTATAATTGTAAGACCATTTTTCATGATTAAACTTAAAAAAATAAAGTATCATAAACAATAAACTGTTATGATTTATCTATGAAATAAATCCAATTGACTCTTCTACAAAATTGAAACTGAATACATATATTGTAATGTTAAACATTTTGCATATCTTTGATGCCATTTACAAAAAGGTTGACAAATAAGAATCAATTAAAGAATGATAAATTTACAACTTAGTTATTGTTTATTGAATAAAACTAAATTTTGTATATAAGAAGAAATATTAAAGAATGGTATTGTTTGTTTTCAATCAAAAACAAAAAATAAAAAAGGAAAATAAATTATAATTTATCCCAAGCAAGTTTTTTTCCTCCAAGAATATGGAAATGAATGTGTTTAACAGTTTGACCAGCATATTCACCGATATTATTAATTACACGATAACCTTCAGGGCATTCTTTCTTTCCAATTAAAGAGACTTTATACAAAATTTTACCAATAAAAGCCTCATCTTGTTCAGTGATTTCATTTAAAGAAGAAATGTGTTGTTTAGGAATAACAAGAATATGAACAGGAGCAATTGGGTTAATATCTTTAAAAGCAAAAACGTCATCATCTTCATAAACGATAGTTGATGGAATTTGTTTTTGTGCAATCTTACAGAAAATGCATGAATCAGCCATTCTTTTTCTTATTTTGTTTTTTAGATTTTGTTTTTATTTTTTAATTTTTGAAAAATAAAAAACAAAATCCTTTAATTCTTAACAACATTATCTTCTTCTCTTATTTTTGAGTCCACAATTGTAGAATCATTGTTTTTATGATTTTAACTGATCTTCTCAATACTATTCTATAACTACAGTAAGGGATTATCTTGAAAGAATTTTATAAGCAGTGAAAGAATTGTGGAGTGATGTGGAATAATTACGCTAATACCTTCTACAGGTATTTCACGGAAAATAACATTGTTTTAGAGATAAAAAAACTCTCTCAATAAAAGCGATCCATCCTCCTTTTTTTGCAGGGAAGAAGCTCTAAGAAAAGAGCCATAAAAATAAGAGAAATGAAAAAAAGAAAAAACCCTAAAATGAGAGAAAGAAAAACCCTTCACATCTTAAAAGTCTTCAAAACATGGCAAGTGATATTCCAACTGAACAAATTGAATCAACAGTTGAAGCAATTCAATCTTTTGATGCAATGGGGATTAAAGATGAATTACTTAGATCTATTTATTCATATGGTTTTGAAAAACCATCAGCTATTCAACAACGAGCTATTGTACCATTAATGCAAGGAAGAAATTTAATTGCACAAGCACAATCAGGAACTGGTAAAACTGCAGCTTTTTCTATTGGTGTTCTTCAACAAATTGATACTAATAGTAAAGTTTGCCAAGCTATTCTTCTTTCACCAACAAGAGAACTTGCTCTTCAAACACAAGAAGTTGTTAAGAATTTATCACAATATCTTGATATTAAAACATTTGCTTGTATTGGAGGAACATCAGTAAGAGAAACTATTGAAGCATTAAGAAATGGAGTTCAAGTTGTTGTTGGTACACCAGGTAGAGTTCTTGATATGCTTGATAGACAAGCTATTGATCCAAATACAGTTAAATATTTAATTCTTGATGAAGCAGATGAAATGTTAAGTCAAGGATTTAAAGATCAAATGTATACCATTCTTAAATCACTTCCATCTACTGTCCAAGTTGGAATGTTCTCAGCTACTATGCCAGCTGATGCACTTGATATTTCTAAGAAGTTTATGGAAAATCCAGTTAAGATTTTAGTTAAAAAAGAAGAACTTACATTAGAAGGTATTAAACAATTTTATATTGATGTTGTTAAAGATGAATATAAAATTGATACTCTCATTGATCTTTATCAAGTTATCTCTGTTAATCAATCAGTTATTTTCTGTAACTCAAAGAATAGAGTAGAATGGATTCAAAGAAGACTTCAAGCTCATAACTATCCAGTTTCAATTACTCATGGTGATTTAACTATGGAAGAAAGAAATAATGTTTTAAATGAATTTAGACAAGGTGCTACTAGAATTCTTATTACTACTGATATGTTATCTAGAGGAATTGATGTCCAACAAGTTTCTCTTGTTATTAACTTTGATATGCCTGTTTCTGATGAATCTTATATCCATAGAATTGGTAGATCTGCTCGTTTCGGAAGAAAAGGTGTTGCTATTGATTTTATTACTACTGAAGAAATGGACACTATCAATAGACTCCAAAAGACTTATGAAACTAAGATCGTTCCATTACCAAAGACCTTCATGGATTACCTTTAAATTTCTCAATTGAAAAGTTAAAAAAAACATTTTTATAATTTCATATTTTTTGTTTTTTTAAATAATTTTATATATTTCTCTATATCTCTTTTCTATTTATCTTTTTTATCGTTGAACTTTATTTCTCTGTAAAATAAGAATACTTAAATGACGAAGTTATCACAAAGGATAATCCATATTTAAGTTTTATTTTTTTAGAAAAGAAATTGCTTTACATAGTTTATAGTTACTTATTGGTTATCTAAGAAAATACCCAGCCATTTGGTGTAGACTAAAATATTTTAGTATCTTATAACATCAACAACTTAATCATGTGTTGCCAAGTGTTGTTTTAAGAAAATAAATTTTTGTATTTATTTCAATAATTGTAAACTTTTTGAAGTTGATTTGAGTTATCAATTATTATTTTTATAAATTTTTACAATGCCTTTAATACTATGGATGAAATGAAAAAGATTTATATTCAATAAATTAACGGTATTCATTAACAGTTAATAAAATGAAATAAACTTTTTACTCTTATTTATCTTTTAGTGGATATGACTAACGTAATTTCCCCTCTTAAATGATCCCAACTTTTAATAAGGAAATACTTTTCTGAGTAATTTTGAATGAGATATTATAGTGTAATGAAATAATAGAATTTATTTTTGAAGAGTTATATAAAAATAACATCTCTTTGATAACATTTTTTATGAAAGTTTTGAATCGCTTGTTTTTCTCTGTTAATTAAACACATGTGGAAATAAACACTCAAAAACAAGAGAGTGATAGAAAATTATTCGAATTAAATGCTGAATCAGAAAGGAAAATGTCTGAAGTAAACAATTTATCACAACAAGTATACTTCATGAAAGATAAGTTATCTAAATTACAAAATGAAAGAACACATGAAGAAAAGAAGAGATAAATCACACTATATCAGACTCATCTGAAACACAAATTGTGAATAATCTCACCACCAATGTTGGTTTACTGATGAAATATCATCAAATGAAGATGATCTTCCAAAAAAAAAGACAGTTAGCAAAGAATTCAATCGAAGAGATATGAATTCAACATAAGAAGATCACATCATCTGATCATGACAATAAAAAAACAATTGAAGCAAAAAAAAATAGATAGAGAAGAAGAAGTTCTAACACTCTATAAATGTTTTACACTAAAATTATTAGAAAGAAAATTAAGAGGTCAACATAAAGAAGAAGAAATACAAAGATTAGTACATGAAATTGATATTAAAATAGAAGATATTAATGAATATAAAGAAGTATTAAAGAAAACATTTAAAATAAAGAATGAAATTAAAAATGAAATCAATAAAAGAAATGAAGAAGAATTAATAACACACCAATGGAAAGATATTGAATTAAAAGAATTAATAAAATAAATAAGAAATAAGAAATATAAGAAGAGGATGTAATAAGAATAAATAAAGAAGAAGATATGAAAGAACAAGAAGATGTACAATTTATTAATTATTATTACAATAAAAACAAAATACATCAAATAATTAATATCATTAATACAAATGAAATATTAATCAATACATTAGATGATTACTACCATTATATTAAAACTATAACATCAACTATTAACATCATTATTAATAATAATCAAGAAAGAAGTTGAAAGAGAAGTATAGAAAGAATATTACAATCAAAAATATGTAGATTAAGAGACTTGCTCTATAATAATCAATATATGAAATAGGTTTTTTAAAAATTGTTGTGGCAAAAAATAATGTGGAATTGCCTAATTAAATAGCTAAATTGTTATTGAGACTAAGTACATTTATGATTTGTAATTAGTGTTGTTTATTTATATACAGTCGAACAAATTTTATTTATTTTATTGGGAATTTTCTTTTTATGATTAGTATTTTTAACTTAATATTATTATTAATTTTATTTATTGATTATTTAAAGTGAAGATTAAAGCATCATGATCTATATTGCATTTGTTAGTTTTAATAAATAAGTTATTTTTTCTATATTGTTATTAATGAGTTGATTATTTTATCTCATTTGATTTATATATGGATGTCAATCATATTTAATTATAATTTGTTTATGAAAAAGTATTGAATATTATTTCAAAAAAATGATTATAACATTCAAATGGTAATAAATTATTTTAGTTTGTAAAGTATATAAGAAGAGAATATTTACAACATTTGAATCGTCATAATATATAATAAATGAAATAATTATATAAATGGTTTAAAATCACTCATTTATTATTTACATATTTGTTATTTGTATTACCCAGTTTAAATAAATACAGATAAATACAAATGATAATTCACTATTTATTAAAATAAATAAAGAATGGTTATTACAAAATATGATAATTAAACGATTTAAAATAAAAATGATAAAATAACAACAATAAACAACAAATTAAATGAAATCATTCAGTATAAATTACAATTAGTAACAAATATTATAAAATCAATAACAAAAATAAACAAGAAGAAATAAATGAAATAAAGAAATAATAATAAGTATAATCATTTCATTTATAATAAATATAAATGAGTTTAACAAAAATTAATAAATAAGAAAGCATAGAAATAAAATAATAGTAAATGAACCAACAATTCGTTATAACATCAAATTTAAGAAAGCAATTAATAAGTATTAATAAAAATTGTGTCTATTGTTCCTGGATCAGCGGATACTAATTCAGTCAAAGAACTATTATCTACTAACTCCACAGTGTATGTTCTATTATTGTTGAAACAATGTTCCATGACATCAATCATGTTTTTAATTACAATATTTTTAATTTCTTTTATATTGTTTATTTCAGTTTTCAATTCTTTAATTAATTTAATACTTTCTACATTTACTAATTAATTTATTGAAGTTAATACTGCAATTATTTTGACATCTTTTTAATTTCTCTATTTTTATTAACATATTCTTTATTTCTTTATACTTGTTTCTTTTCTTCCAATAGGTTCAATTAATATTGTGATCTGCAGTAATATTCATAGCAAATAATATACCCGTTTTATTTTTTAACAAATATGTATATTTATGGTATTTTATGACTGTCAATCATTTTTTTGATATTATTTGTTTGTTCAATATCATAGTATGTCATTGTATTGGAACATTGTTTCATATGTTGATTTCTTATATTGATTATTTCATGTATATTTTCTTATTATCTAATATAATAATACAAATATTGTTTTGTTTCTCAATTTATGAATTTTTATGACCAATATAAGATAGTAGAATGTGTTATACTATTGATATATTGTATTTACAAAGTGGATAGTATTTTAATCTTTTTTAATATTTTATCTTTTCTATACACATTGAATATTACTCAATCTTATATTTTATTTAAATGGATAAATGAATTCTTTTTAATATTGTTTGACTTTAATGCATTGAATGTAGTAGTTTCATCTATAAATTTCGATTCAATCAATCTTCTAAAATATCCACTTATTTGATTTCAATTTATTGATATATTTGTTTGTTATTATTTTATTTTTATTATTATTTCTTTTATTTTCAATTATTTCTTATATTATTTATTCTATTTCTATTTCTTTGATTTTATGTTTTATTATTTTTATTTATATTCATTATCATTTCTTATACTATAATATTAAATACAATAAAAATGTCCATACCAATCAATTCACAGCATCTCTAATTGAAGTTACTTTTTGCAATTAGTAAAACATCACCCATTGTCACTAAAATAACACATATAACTTTGATAAATTGTTTTATTCTTTCAAACCTTTCTATTTCTTTTCCAATTTCTCTTCTTCTTATGTACAATTTTCTTTTTATGTTTTACAAAATTGCATACCATCCATCAAAAATAACTTCTCTATTATATACTTTTTTTTATTAGTATTCTATAAATCTTCGTTTTATGTTTATATTATGTTTTTATTTTATTTCAATGAATGAATTCAAATATTATAAAAAAAAGAGAGATAAAAGAAAGAATTATAAAATAAATATGAGTTGGTTTATTTAGTTATAGATGTTTATGTTGTTGAATTTAGTTTGAGATTTCTTGTTCATTATTTTATGAATATTTGTGTTTGTTGTTTATGTTGATGGAATTTATTTGTAATAAAAGAATGATTATTTATTAAGATGATAGTATTAATTTGTTATGATAAAGATATAATTTGTAATAAAAGTATTAAAATGAAAATTGATTTTATTGTTATTGTTGATGATAAAAAGGAAAGTAAAGATAATAAATAAAGATAAAGATATAAATAATATAAAATAAGAGAATAAATAAATTTAATACATCATAAAAATTAAGAGAAATTTAAAGAAGAATATTTAATTTTAATGATATTTGAAATACTTATTCTAAAATGAATAAAAAATTCATAATTTTTAACATCAAAAGATTAAACAAATAATTCATTCACAACCACTCTTAAACAAATTAGTTCTTCTCTCATACAACTAACAACTAACAATAAAAATAAATTTATTAACACTCAACTATCTACTTTTTATTCTTTAATATGATAAAAAGAGTTTTAATTTTTATCATTTCATTTAGTTATGTAGATTATTATTGAATTGTATAAGGTATATAACATTTCTATTTCTGATTTAATTAAAATGATAATTAAAATATTATTGGTCCAAAAGAAAAAAAGTGACTGATGGCATCATAATATCTTAAGTATGTTAACGCTTAAGTCATTAATTTAAATAGATTTTCAAATTAAGTAATTATGGTTAATATTCAAAGAAAACATAAACAGAGATCTCTTTTCATAAATAAAAAAATAAAAAATTAAAATATACTAAAAATTAATTAGAAACAAGTGTTTCATGGAAGACCAACAATTGAATCAAAGTTTTTCTAACAATGAATTACTCAATGAACAAATCCAATACTTAAAAGTACAAAGATCAGAACTAAAAAGTTTACCTGAAGGGAGGGTTTGTTTTCGAATAACATCTAGTTATAGTGTGACTCATTTATAGAGT